TGTGATGAATATAACGACCAAACTTTTTTAAATAGGGTGTTGCTCACGTGTATTGAGCGAAGCAGCTCAGACAGGAGGTGGCCTTGTGGTCCAACAGTTGTTTCAGGACAAACGAGAACAGGAGGCTTTTGTATGCAAACTGCATCATGGTTCTAAGCAGAAAGGCCGAGTTTTAACAGAAAATCCACTTATTGTGTTTTTTCTCTCTGCAGCAGGAGAGAGGTCTGCTGTCTTACAGGTTTTACACATCACAGTGTGAGTGTGTAGTGTGATGAGAAAATGCTGTATGCTTGACAGACTCTTATTTAATGTTAAAATCAATCATTATAATTAACAAACAGAGATTATTAAGTCATTTCTTTGCATTCTAGCATGTTGTACTATGTTCATGCTGCTTAAAGGCATGTAATACACAAATAAAAGGTCAGAAAGAAATATCAGGGCATCACAAAAAAATATGCAATCATTATTATTATTGATCACAACTAAAGGAAAGGGCAAACAGCAGGGTGATCCATCAGCGTCATGACACATTATTAACAGGTGCAACAAACAAGACAGTGAAACTGTCAATGCAGATGGGCGCAATAGTGTGTCTAAATCAATGATAATGAACCCATGAAACAAAGGCAAGTATAATTTATAAGAATGAATTTCATCACTGGATGGGGCATGTGACAGCCTACCATCAGGGAGAATTAATGAGTATCTTCTTGCTGCTGCAGAGGGCATAAAATGCTGAATTATAACATCATAGTGACACAAGCTTCATATGTTGCAGTTATTTCAATGAATTAATCATTTGTTCAGTTTCTTTTCAAAATCGTATACCTAAGTGATATTGATGAGGAGGTCAACAGCCATGACGCCACGTTTTTATAAGAATTTAAATTATGATTTCATATCCAATCAAGTTAAGCCAATCAGATATTTATTTTAAAACTATGCTGTCACTAACAGCTTACCACAGCAGTCGCACTGACAAGGCTGCCTGCAGATGTGTTTGAAGACGTTTCTTCGTCTATCGGCCTACCCATTAATAATAATGATATAATATGTTGGCAGCATAGTAAAAGAGCATAATAGCAAAGTAAAACTTATTCCTCCAGTGTTACAAAGGTTCAGTTTCACTTGGATGTGAACGTCTGACCAGTAAACTGAGCACACTGCATAATGTACTCTCAGCACTGTCCTCACCATCTGGAGGAGAGCAGTTCTGACATGTGCAGGTGAGGAAAAAAACACTTGAAGTAAGAAAGAGAAGGGCTGCTGCCTAGTGGTCTGAGTTGCCATAACATGTGACACCAACATAACTGGTTCAAAACACCTGCAGGCCTTTGTTGCATGTCACCTCCCCTCACTCTCTCCACGTACTTCCTGCCTGTCTCTGCTGTCAACTATCGAATAAAGACTAAAAGAAAAAACGACACTAAGCAAGAAAGTATACATAAAGAACCGAGTGCACTAAGAAACTAATGATGTGATGAAACATTGAGTGAGGAGTGTTTCAGTGTTGTTGCATCAGTTGCAGGCTTGCTGTGTTGTGACTGCACGGAGGAACAGCTCAAACTGTTTGCTGACACAATGCAAGCTCACTGCCTTTGATTAGTTGTGCACATTTTGAGAGATCAAAGTAGCAGGACACATTTCCATATAGGCCTGGACTTTGCAGCAGGGATAACTTCACGATCAGCTTTACTACAGTAGTAATCAATGCCAAGATGAGTTCCCAAATGCAGCAGGAGTGTGATGTATGAGAGAGACCAGACTACATTTAATCCCACTGTAATGAGGGTTGTGAGGTTTTAAAATTGTCCATGTATCAGGATTAAAGTTCTCTTCTACTTCTACTAACTTTGCACCAAAGGTGGAAGAAGTCTTTTTTAATAGAGTAGCAATACCTTGATGTAAAAATAAAAGTCCTGCATTCCTAATTTCACTTTAGAAGTTTTAACAGAGCATCAAAAGTAAAAGTAGCTACTTATTAGGCAGCAGGAAGGCCACTGCCAAAGGACTATATTATATGATTGGATTATTATTACTGGTGATGTTTACATACTGTTGGGTAGTTTATTCTATAATAATGCACACTTCTGTATGCTAGTCACATAAATGTAGGCTTAGTAGAGTTAATAGAACACTTTTTAGTCGAATATAGGTAAAGCAGCATCAAATATTAAAAGGTTTAAGTACCTTAACATTGCTCTTGACCCTAAAGCGGTATGAAAATAATAAGAGCAACACTTTGACAAGTTTCAAGCTTGTTCTTCTGCTTGAAAAAAACTACTAAATAAATAAAGAAAACATTTTTACCTGTGTCATCAAAGGCAGGGAAGGAGAAGGGGTAGTCCGCCAGGGACTTGAGGAGATCAGGAACGTCGCTCCTGTCCTCAAAGAAGATCTGGTTAGCTGTTGACATGATGATCAGAAACGAGTCCAACCGAGAAGAGAAGCTGTGAGTGAGTGTGCTCTCAGCTCCTGACTTCACTCACTTTCTAACAACTTTGCAGCAGGTCACGTCACGGGGACGCCTGCATGTGTCCTAACAACTCGTATTATAATGAGCAGAGAGGCCACGCCCCCTGGAGCCGGAGGAATGATGACAGAGGAGTACGCGCCTGTCGGTCACACCGCAGAGCCAATGAGAAAGCAGGTGGGGGGGGCGGGCTCTAATGAATGAAAACCACAACAACAACCCTGTTCAGCAGAGCACATTTCTCCCCACGCACGGCTACACGTGCGAGCCCAAAGGAGGCTCGAGACCAGGTCCACCCGCGCGCCCCGCACCATCTAGTGACGTGTTGGAGTAGTGCCTGAACAGGTGCAATGAGTTCACGTACAGCGGGGGAGGGAGCTGGTCGCAATACCACACTGTGCATTACAAGTCAAAATATTACCTCATTAAGTAAAAGAAAGAACAAACATTGGCTCCTGTGAGTTGATTATTATATATTTTATTCAATTATCAATGTTTTATGTTGAAGTTGGTAGCAGGATGAGCTCATTTGAACTACTTTATACTATTGGGGTAGTTTTAGTTCCATAATAATGAATCATAAACTCTTTAAATATTTTTTTTAAGTATGTTAAATAAGAAGTAATACCTATCTGTCCTCAAGTACAGTACTTTAGTAAATCTACATTCAACCAGTTTACCAAATGCTGCTCAGGTTTCTGAGATTGACGTCAAACCCAAATACCTCAACCTTTTTATTAGTATTCTTCTATAATATCTCTTATCACTGGGCATTTATTGTTGTCATTGTTGTTTAAGAGTTTTCTTTATTGTTTTTCACCTGTTTTTATTGAGCCTTTTCGTTTTCCAAACACAGCATTTGGCACATTAAACACTTACATTCACGAATGTAGAAACACATTCTTACCATTAACATAAACAAACAAAAACAGCAGAGTTTTCATTTACCTACTTTTTAGAAGTTCCCAGGTTTACTTCTCATTTAGTTAAACAATGAACAAAACTATAAGTCTCATAAGAATATTTTGGCCAATATGGCAACACCCTTCTCTGATGATGAAAATAATATGAGCCAGAATTAGACACATATGCTCCAAATAAAAATACACAAAGTCAATTCAAACCATCACATGTGTGCGCATGTGTCTTTGCTAAAGGACAAATCAGAACTGAACATGAACATTTGTGTTTTGTGAACATTATTTGTGTTCAAAGTTGAGACATTGAGAAATCGTTGGTGAGGGGTACTTTAATGCACAGTTGAGTCTTTGGACATCAGACATAAAGAATGGAAAAAAAGAAGAAGAAAACAACCAAAACTTTGTGTGAATGTCACATGGGTCAGCGGACATGGTTAAATATGAACACTTTATGAATATTTTGTGATGAAGAGTGTTTGTATCTGCTGTGTTTTCTGGGTGGCACCAACATGGGCTTTAGTTTCACAGCACTAAGTACTTTTTTAATGATGTTTTAGCTGAACAGGCAATACAAGTAGCTCTGAAGATGTCCCACATACCAAATTAAAGTAACTAAAAGAGTATATGGCATGTCTGACAATGCAAATACACATGCTTCATATTTCAAGTGATCTACTGGCAATTTTATACCCACTGGTAGTTTAATCACATCACCTGCTGATTTTGGTTTTGAAATGCTAGTTTGGCAGTTACGAAAATGGCTCACAAGTCCTGAAGTAGAAAGTTGTATTTCCCAAAGTCAGACTCATCAGGCATAATGAGCATGTCGTCCCTGGCTTTGGCCAGCTTGTGTCGCAGGAAAGCCCGTCTCTCAATCCACTCCTGCAGCTCCTCTGGGCTGTGTGCATAGTCACAGCTCACACCGTCAGGACATCCGCCATCCAACCTGTCAAACATTAACAACACATTATGTTTAATCAGTTTTTATATTTTCACATAACATAACAAGGGCTCACTGTAAATATTTTTGTGTTAATTCTCAAATCAAATAATTTTGTCCTGCCTGGAGTAATAGATGTTTTTCACATTTTGACATGAAACTTACTGTTAGTTTACTAACAGGTGTTACCGATGATACCAATTAAGGCTCTGTTCCATTTAGTGTAGAAGAGTATTTCCAGTAAGCCACGCACAATAGCAGCACCCTAACTCTGTTCAACCTAAATGGAACTGAACCTTAATTAGACAAGTTGGCTGCTATGAAAAAGGTCTATATAGATGTGCTAAATACTGACGGCTACAAAGTTGCTGCTCTGTTGCAGCTGTAACTACACCCAACAATGATGTCACAGTGCATTGACACACCCAGGAGTACCTCGCTGCCGCAAGGTGGTCAGCAGAAATTGAATTTGAAAAGTGTTAAGTTACGCTATTTGTTTTTTTGTTTTGTGGGCATGTCTCCCCAAACTCCTGTGATTCAAATGAACAACACTCCAATGCTAAAACCAGTTTTACTTTTACTATTTACACTGACTGAATCCAAAAACATGAAATCCAAAAAAGGGTCTCACTTGGAGCAGAGTTCTAAGTATCTGCCAGGGAAACGGTATTTCCACGTCAGAGCTTCGTCCTCGCCCTCACAGCTGAACACTCGGTCCTTGTGCTTCTCAGAGGAGATGTGCTGTTGCCACTGTCGCTCACCGTTACTGTGCTTACCACACAGGCGGCAGTGGAAGCCACTCTAAAAAACAAAAATAACAAATCATCAGCTTCTTCCTACAGATACAGAGTCAGGTAAAACAACATATGTAAGTTTTACTTTGTACCAGTGGTGCTGTTTTTGGTCTTTGACTTTAATATACTCACCATTGGTTCAGCATAGTCAGTTGGCATGACAATGTATTTCTCTTCTGGGACGGGTTGGGTGAGCATGGCTCCATCTGCTTGGCGGTTTTGGGTAGTTGATGTCAGCCAAATGTCATACATCTGCTGCATGTCCCGCACTATAGCCACAAATACAGATCTGTGATAATTGAGTGCAGTGCTCTTCAAGGGAGATATGAGACTATACATTTACATTTACAGATTTTCATCTATATTTTATATACATACATGTGTGTCCATCAATCAACCAAAAGATAATCGCTAACTATTTTGACCAGTGCGGTCAAATGACCAGTGTGTAGGACCAGTGGATTGGGACTCGGTATTGGCAGGTACTCAAAATTAAATGACTTGAATGTGAGACATTTTATAGACCAAACAATTGATTGACCCCTTATTTTCTGAAACCAGTATTTTAGAGTGATTTACAGTGGAACTCCGACGTGTTTAAAAGTGATGGGGAGTACTATTACATACCTCTAGTTCTGTTGCATCAGTTTTGATCTTTTTTTTTTTAAACTGTCCATCATTAATCTGACAACATTATAGGAGTGCAATGCTAAATCAGTGCAGTATTCTTTAAAAAGCACGTTTTAAGTACTCACAGTCATTATTCTTCATATACATCCACATCTCCTTCTCCTCTTGGCTATGAGCAAAGGTGCATTTCCCAGTGTAGTTACATTTCCTTTTCGCCAAAATCTGGGTACATATCTGTCAGGATAAAACGTAACACTGTTTAACACAGATCACAACATGAAGTACAAACCTTCAAGAGATACCATAATTAACACCAATGTGCAAAATAATTTCATTTGGAAAGAACTATATATACAAAACATAGTGAACACATAACACAAGAAATGCAAGAAAGACTGGGGAAGACTATACATCCCACCACTGAAACTACTTGTATTAAAGTGCATGAGAGCAGGGGAAGCACACCTACATCATACTGCATGGGGAAGTTCTTGGCATGTGGCAGCGGTCGGACCTGAACCCATTTACTTTTCTCCAAGGACCTGACCAGCAGTAACCATCTGTCTTTAGTCCACCTAAAGGTCGTGACACAAAAGGTAGACAGAAGTCTAAAATGAGACAGCGCCCAGACAGGTAATTAGACTCTATATCTGCACAGTATTGGACTATATAAAAAGTATTAATAACTGTCAAAAGGAATAACAATAACAAATAGTATGGCAGCAATATGTCTAGTCTAATACAAAGAAGAAGGGAATGACTGTGTGGAGGTTTATGGTACTGGGAACTAGTGGCAGAGTGAGACCTCTGTGCTAAAGACCAGTTTAGAGACCAGTTAGAAATCTTGGCCTATTAAATACAATTTCCCATTTTTACTACGCAAATATATTATTTTGTACTCACGCGTGCCTGGCCTTGGCAGTGCAGTACTTGAGGGCTTTGTCAGGTTCGCTGATCAGGCCACCCCACCAGCACTGAGCACAGACAAACTTCATCTTCATGTTCGGACTCTTCCCAGCTCCTCTTAGTTTGCTCCCACCACCTCCAGAAGACAGCTGCTTAAAATTAAATAAAAACAAAGATAAAAGTGATAGCAATTTAACAACACTTCTTCATCTTTCTTTGCCAAAATCAGCTATATAATAATTTCTATATCTTATAATATTGGAAAAAAAGAAAAAGGTTAAAGTTAGCCAATAATTATACTGTTTATGAAATTGCACATTTGCATAATTTATATTTATGATAAGTATGTCCTTAAATCAAAAGCTCTGTACATTACAAAATGTGAGAACTTTTCAAGCTCTTTTTTTGACACTGTTTCAACGTGTGGATTCATTACATTTATAAAAATTGACGAACAAACAAAAAGCTGTGACAGGTTGGTCTACATGCCGGAGAAACATTGGTTTTTTTTTTCAATAAATAAAAATCTTACTCTATTTCCTTTCTGTTTGCTTGAGTTTTGCTCCTGCTTCTCATAATAGTCTGTGGATACTTTCACAATCTCTTTGGGGCTGATACCTGTCCACACACAGACACAAACACACACACACAAACAAAAAAACAAAAACTTATTCTGATTTCTACTCAAGAATACTCAGAATCATTATTTCAACAACACTGAATCATTGAATTGAATAACTCTGATCAATAGAATAGAAATACCCTAATGCAGTATTAACAGCATTAATAGATTTCAGTGGTCAACCAATGTATTCTTCATTTCTGATATTTAGAGAGCAGAGCGACCGATGGCCAATATATAATGCCGATATCAATGGTCTCCATCCTATGGGAAATATCTGGCTCTTTAGCTGCTAAATGCTCCAAAATCTTCATGAGCTAGTTGCTAATTATCTTTCTGCTGTTTGGGGATGAGCGAGAAAATTAACAGTGAAAACAGCTGCATGTTGCTGGTGAGAAGTGAGAGGGAACCAAAACACCATCATCTGTAGCTTACACCTCTTCAGTGTTTTAATTTGTTCCCCCTAGTGAACGAATACAAATAAAATGCTCTTAATTGTACTATTTCCACTGCATGTGTCTGACAGACTGCACCTGTGTCTCGCTGCACTCTCCAAGTTTTGAGCTCTAGGGGGGAGTGAGCAAAATGGCAGCTGTCCTCTCTCAGGCAGCCGTACCGGATGGCTTGGCGGCACAAATCCAAGTTGCACAGGACACCCAGCGGACGGACCTTACTGTAGTTTACACTGTGGGTCCTCACCACAAATGCTAAGCACCTGATGGGCACAGTGGCAGAAATCAAAGTATTCAAGATAGACAGAAAGACAATGAAAGTTAAAGAGTTAGAGTGAAATGAGCAAGGGTAAGATCAGGTTTACATGTATGTTGTAAACACGCTCACTTATTGGCTTCGAATGTGTGGTGAGCGTCCAAGTTAGAGCAGATGGTATGGTTGTCTTTGCAGCGCTTACTGATGATTCTAGGTTTACTGTCATAGCATTCCTACAGAGACAGAAAGACAAAAATATAAAGAACAAACAAAAAAAAGACAACAGGAAAGAAAGGTAGAAAAACAGACAACACAATTTAAAGTATTATAGAATACGGAAAAACAGTAATTCAACAAATCCGTAATTAATAAATGTACATAATATTAGAAAGTAATTAAAACAGACATGATTCACGATGAAGCACACTAACCTGACAGAGGAAAATAAACATGCCCTTGTGTTCCTGTAGAAGACGTATGATGCTGTTTACAGGGTCCAGTTTGACAGCTTCTGTTTCAAACAGCAGGTTTCTGTCCAGCTTCCCCTTCTTCTCTTCTGTCCAAACGTCAATCTCCAGCTGGTTGTAGGCAAACGTGCAGTTCTCTCCGTACTTACACAGGCCCAAATCTTTGGACTTCAGCACCTCTGATGTGAGAAAAAAAAAAAAAAATCATCCTGTCACATGTCACTTACCCGAGACTCCCAAGTCATATGAAGAATTTGTGATGATAGTAAATCAAAAGTGCCTTCCCTAACATAAATATAATGAATCTCAAATAGGTGGTCACAGGGTTAAAAGGAAGACAACGCTGATTCAAAAGAGTCTCTCTCATGTGCTTATTTGCCTAGTTCTGAGTGACTGGATCTGCCATTTCAAATGTGCATCATGTGTTTTAGTGAAAACTACACCTTTTTTTTATCCTACATGGACTTTACTAGGTTAGCAGGCAAACTATTTCGGCATTTCATTAACCCTTTCTAGTTTTGTATATATTCTTTGACCTGCTTGACCTGTTGCCCTCAGGGAGGC